AGAGAGAGAGAGAGAGAGAGAGAGAGAGAGAGAGAGAGAGAGAAGCAGACCCTGTAGGACCCTGGGGAGGTCCCAGCTGAACAGAAGTGAGCTAGTATCAATTACCTTGGGCTTCAGTGCAACTCATTTCAATTGTGATTTCATGAAGAATAACCAAAATGTACCCACCGAGAAAGGATTACCAAAACTATGGTTTTTATTGGCTAAATTGGCCTTTATTAGAGTTCTTCAGAATTGTTGACTCTTCCTGGGCAGTGGAGCCTTTCATATTGTTTATTCAGCAAGCTCTTCCTTTCTTTTCCAATACAAATTGGCAGACCTGCATTTCTGTCCTGGAGAAAGGCAACCTTGCATTCCTGCAAAAACCTAATTTTTTATCTTGGAAAATTTAGAAGCATGATTCTATATTCTTTTATTCCCCTTTACTAGTTATAATTCTTTCTTCAATAAATTGACCTGATCTCACGATGATGACTGTGTTTTGAGCATGCATCTTTTTAGTGGGTTCATATTTTATCTGTTCAATTATGGTTCAGGGTTGAAAATCTCAAAAACTTAAGAGCGATGATGGGGAGTGCCCAACATTGGTTTGCTCTGATCTGGCCGCTCGAGGACTGGATTTGGATGTGGACCTTGTCATTATGTTCGACTTCCCCTCAACTTCGGTATGCCCAATTGCTTACTGTTGATCCTCTTTTTTTATTGCATGAGAGAGAGAGAGAGAGTGAGAGCTTCTACTGCAGCATGGGAGAGAAAGAATGTTGACAAAAAGAAATGGGCTTAAGTCACAATGTGGCTAAAGAACAAGGACTTGGAGAGAGAATAAATGGAGAGGAGTGTGGGTGCTACTTGCTAACAAGAGGTCCGTGCTGTGTTTTTGTAGATCGACTATCTTTATCGAACAGGGAGAACTGCTCATATGGGAGCAAAAGGTGGGATCATTCGGTTCTCACTTGCTTCTTCCAGGCTCCCACCGTGAATATATAACTGGTGGCATAAAATCTGTGGAATTTTGATATCTTTGGTCAATTTTCCATTCACTGTTGGGACGTTGCCACAGGAGTGCACAAAATTCATAGAGATAATATCTTGTAGAACAAAAAAGCCTTCAAATATCGTAACTCAAACTTTTTCCTCTCAATTTGTTACAGGGAGAGCCTTGTGGCCAAAAAAGACCAAACTTTTGGCTGACAGGATTGAAGAAGCCATTAAGAAGAATAAGAGCTTGGGGTCTCTTGAGGTTGCCAAGCAAAACCAGAGTGATTACAAATCTGTGAGAAAGGTCACAAATTCTGCAAAAAATTTGAAACCAAAAGCCAAAAATAGCACAGCTTCGACAAAGTCATCACCCAAGGTGTCTCAATCTTCTGCTCGAAAGATTGTTTCAGCAAAGGGCAAGAAGAATCCAATGAGTTCAATGGCGGGTAAAAATATTGTTTCAACAAAGAGCAAGAAGAATCAAATGAGTTCAATGGCTCCAAAGCCCAAAATTGTGAAGAGAGTGGAAACCAGGAAACCTCAAAGGGTAAAGACAAGCTCATCTAAACTTCGGGTAGTTGGGTTTCGGGGATGGAGTGCAGCTGCTTAGAAGCAGTCCTTGAGAACATTTAAAGCCGAGTTGAGTCTGATTCACTTGTGGGGGAGCAATCTCTCTCTTAGTAAATTCTCTAGGCAATGCTGAGAAGCCATCTTAGATGCTGGCATCAGCAAGTTCTGTGATTTTTTTTAGGTAATGGGGTATTTTGTTGAGGAAGCCAAATTTATCCACGAGAGATCTCATGGATGTTTTGTTTCGCTTATTTAATTGAAGAAATATTTTAACAACTTACATGCAATAAACCACTGAAATCCCATCTCTTCTTTTTTCCTTTTTTTTTTTGGAGTGGTTCACTTTGTATTGATAAAATTAAGTATTACATCAAGGAGCAAAAGACGGCAGTCCCCAAGTTCGGTGCTCAGTATACAGAATGTACAATTAGAAAGAGGAGGAATACAGAAAATACGAAAATGGAGGAAAGGGTAGAGAGAGAAAAAAAAGAAAAGGGATAACAACTTAGAAATAGAGTAAAAAATAGGAACAAGAAAAAAGAAATCCCATCTCTTTTTAAGGTTGCAACCTTAAAATGTAGAATTATAGATGTACTTCAAAAATCTATGGGAAAGATTGTTTTAATGTTGAAAACCATATAATTGATCATCTTGACACTAAGATAATGAATATGAAAAGAATAAGTTTTGTAGTCTAAAAAATAGTGCATCTTCCAACACATTATCTTGACTATGCACTTTCAAGATTTTCATATGTTTATAGATCTACTTAATTTTAACAATTTTTGGAGTTCAAAATTTTCAAATTAGATATAAAAATAGATTTTAAGATAATCTTAAGATTTTTTTACCACAAAACTACATATTATAATAAAATTTGGAGGTGCGCTTTAATTGAATTGTTTAAGGTTGCAACCTTATAGAAATTTATATAAAGCCGAGGCTCTAAACAATCAAATTTGTGGCTATATCAAAAATTTCAATAGCAGAAGTTTGTTTTGATGCTCAAATATCTTCAAATTGATCATCCCGACATCAAGATGTATGATCATGAGAAAAAAATGCATTTCAAGTTTTGGAAATAGTGTATTTTGTAATGCATTTTTTGGACCGTCAATTTTCAAAATTTTCAAGTTTTCACATATATGTCGATCTACACTATTTTTGAAACTTTAAACTTTATAAATAAATATAAAAATATATTTTAAGGCTATCACAAAGATTTTTAATACTGAAACCATATTTCTTGATACTATTTGAAAGTGGGCTCTATTCTGATTATTTAGAGCCTAAGCTCTATACAAACTGTACCTTTTATAATAAGGGAAAGCTTTCTATGTTCCCCTTTAACATAGAAGTTCTATGTTCCCCCTTATCCAACCGTGCATTTTTTAATGGAGGGCCAAAATTACCCCAATTAGTTTAATTTTTTTTCTCTAAACTGTTTTGACACCAAATTTAAGGCGTCTATTCTTATATTAAACTCGCATTAACAGAATATATATATATATATATATATATATATTCAATAAATAAAATGATCAAAAAACCCCAGCAAGTTTCAAAAAGTATTTTGGTCATTATTTTTTATCGAAAAATTATTATTAATATTTTTTATAGGTGCGCCTCAATGAAAAGATGGCACCTACCAAATTTCATATTAAAAAAAATACCAAATTTCATATTCAAAAAAATTATATTAAAAAAACTAAAAATAAAATACTTTGAAGCATCGAATCTAAAGATCAAACAGTGAGTAGCTCTTTTGATAAAAAATGGACAATTGGATATAAAAAGGAATAAAAAATGGACAGTTGGATATAAAAGAGAACATAGAACTTCTATGTTGTAGGGTAAACATAAAAAGTTTTCCCTTATAGTAACTCTGCATCAATGGTACTAAACGAAATAATGTTTCATGCGGGCTAGATCGCATTTCTACAATTTGCAGCCCCAAGGTATAAGACATCCATCAAAGATGGGATGCAAATAGGTGGTCCATCCCAAAACAATAGAAACTAAGATCGATGCTTTATACCTTGAACTGCATATTACAGAAATGCAGTCGAACGAACGGCCTCAGGGTTAGCCCTTTATTGGGGCAAAGGTCTTCCTATACCTACAGAGTAGAGGTTCGCTTTTCCATTGGAGGGCTCATGTGCATACAGCATGAGAGAGCCTACAAATAGAAGAACCTTTTTAAGATGGACATTTAGATTTTTAAGATGGTCTCTAACTGTCCAAACATTTTTTTAATAGAATTATTATTTTTAATTTTTAATTTTTATTTTATTTTATTTATTCATGATTCCGTATGTGGTTTGGATAGAGCCTAAGCTCTAAACAATCAAATTAGAGCCTATTTGAAATAGTGTCGAAAAATATCGTTTCAATACTGAAAATCTATGTGATACCCTTAAAATATATTTTCATGTTTATTTATAAAGTTATAAAAGCTTCAAAAATAGTGTAGATGGACAGATTTACGAAAACTTGAAAATCTTGATAATTGACAAGAAATACGTTACAAAACACACTTTCTAAAACTTGAAATCCAATTTTTTCTCATATCCATGCATCAAGTCGGTGGAAATCATTCACATTAAAGTCGAAACAGTATACAACATGATGCTTTTGAAGAGCTTGGGCTAAGAACTTAAGCCCCAATATACACCTGAAGGAATAGAAGTTATGCATCACCAGTAATCCGAGCTTGAACAAGACCCATCTTTGAAATGATGAAACCTAAGTGCATCCCTCATGATAATCTCACGCCCACTGCTCAATGAAATAAGGTTAATTGCTGGGTGGCAATCAACACAAACCGGGAGGTTCTTAATTACCCTAATAGGCTTTGAATTTGCCTGTTTGAGAAGCCCCAAAGCAATTGTGAGCTTCTCGCTAAGCGAGAATAAGGACCTCCTCCTGCTCTTGATCCTCCAAATCTTGCATCACCAGACTGGAGTATGGAACATAACCCAGTTTTTTTATATCAGATATGAGTGTTCTCAAATGGGTCTGCAATTCTTGATTCAATGAATGCGATTGATCAGAAGCATAGAAATGGTGCATCTCACCATTGATCTCGATCCAGCTGCACCCAGGTCTCTTTCAAACCTTCTTTTTTTCCATATTATCACTTACATTTTCAGTATGGACCCATCTACCTTCTGATCCATGAAGGCTTATGAGCTGCAAATATGGGCCTGGGTCTCGAGATTTTGCTTTTATTAGCTTGTCAGCTGCTCTTTGGGCAATATCAAACTTGGGTTCTGCTTTGCAGTCGTTAAGCAGTGAGGTCCAAACAACAGAGTCGGGTTCAAAAGGCATGGACGAAACCAACTTCTCTGCTTCGACAACTAATCCTAAACGAGAGAGAAGATCAACCATACATCCATAATGTCCTTTCTCAGGCTTAATTCCATAAATTGGGTTCATAATGCTAGAGTGGTTCCAAGCTCGTTTTGCCAGACCTGCATGGCTGCAAGCCAACAAAAGACTAAGAAAAGTCACAGAGTCTAGTTTTATCTCCATGGATACAAGCTTTTCAAAACCTACAATGCCCTTTTGAGCATTCCCATTCACTGAATATCCACCTATCAAAGCATTCCAAGTTACCCTCGGTTTTCCATTCTATTAAATATTGACGCTGCAATCACTATATCCCCACATTTAGAATACATATTAATCAGCAAATTAGCGACAATCGAGTATGATTGTAACCCGATTTTGATACTCAGAACATGAATTTCATGGCCAAATTTTAGTTGAGACAAACTTGCACAAGCAGTCAAAATACTGGTTAAAATAGACTCGGTGGGGTACAAGCCAGTCAAAATCATTCGGTTATAAAGTTCCAATGCACACTCATAATGCCCCAAATTCATGTAGCCACCAATCATTGAAGGCCAAGACAAGATATCAGGTTCTTTCACGTCTTCAAAGAGCATCTGAGCCTCTACCGATCTACCATGACGAGTAAAACCATCGATCATGACATTGTAAGCAACGGCATTTTTCTCGGGCATACTTTTGAAGAAATCTTCAGCTTCTTCAATATTTCCCTCTTGTACCAACCCATTGATCATAACCGTAAAAGAAACTGTATCCCTTTCAGGCAGCGTCTCAAAAAATCTTTTTGCATCATCAATACACTTATTCTCTATCATACCTGCGATCAAAGAAGTCCAAGTTATTAACAGTGGGTACAGGCAAACTCTCAAATAAAACGATGGCTTTTTTCATTAATCCTTTCTTACCATAGCCATTAATCAACATGTCCCATGATAACGAATCTGGTTCAGGCATGTCATTAAACAATTCCCATGCCTCTTCTATTTTATCATTGTTTATATATCCACTGATAATGGCATTCCATGACCCAATGGACTGAACCTGCATCTTTTCGAACTCAACTCTTGCTTCCTCAATAGGCACACACTTCACATAAAAGGTTATAATGGAAGACTGCAGAATCCCATCAAAATTCAAACCAATTTTCAAAATAAATCCATGAATTGCCATACCCAAATTAACAATTTTAGGCCTGCACAAGTATTGAAAGCACTAATAACCATAGGTTTAATGGCTCTGAAATCTTGTTTGCAAGCCATCTTATAAACAAAGCCATCATATCTTTAATGGCTCTGGATCTCTGCTCTTAGAATAAAAGGTGATCAGAGAAGTACCCACATAAACATATCCACAAAAACCAGTCTTTATCAGTAGCCCATGAATTTGCTTAACCTGAATTAGAGCTCTTGTCTCTGCACAACTCGATAGCGCAATTGAGAAAGTTCTTTCGTTGGGTCTTAAGTTCTCGCTTAAGAATCCAGAATAAAACCTCCGAGATTCTTCATAGTGGCCATTTCGCGAATGAACCAGACATCATACAATTCCACAACACTGCGTTTCTTTGAGTCGTTTTATCAACTTCATATCTGAGCTTGACCAAGTCATGCACTGATGAAAATCCCTGAATAAATTGAAAATGGAAATAAAAAAATGTACTAAAAAGCAAAATCAAACAAAAAAAAAACTTTTGGAGTCTGTATGAGCTAAAAAGAAGTACTAGAAAAATGGAATAGAAAAACAGTTGGGGACATTTTAAAATATTAAAAAAAAGAGAAAATACAAAAATAGGGATTTATAGTAAAAAAAACTGTAAGAAAATGGTAAAAAAAACCATGTAAGAAAAATTGTATATGGTAACTTGATTTTTAACAATTTTTGTACAATTTTTAATTATATTTTTTGAATACCCAAGTTGTCACACACTCTGGGGACTCGGCCTTGCCCATATAACTCGGATAGGCCGAATCACAGTACACCGTTTAAGAGTTAAAAACTTACACTAAAATCAGATGCAAGGTGGTTAAAAGGGTCGTTATCAATTGATTAATAGTGACAATTGCACTACGGTTTGTGTGGTCAAGTGTATTATAGTATACACGGTCTATTTTAAGCCATCAGATTTCACATCTTTTGGCTAAAAGGGACTATGACCTCTTTGTACCTGAACTTAATAATCCTACATATCCCTTTTTCTTACCTGGAATTTTCTTCCAACCCATTTCTTTGACTATACAGTACGGTATTTTTTAAAGCATTAAATTGTTTTATAATTCTTACTGTATTTAAAATATTTTTCAGATACATTTAACATGCTCTCCATGGCATTTCTCAATCAAAGACATTTTCAGCTAACATTTTCAAGGTACTCACACAATTAAGAAATCCAGGAAAAACTTGTGTAAAAAAAATCATCGATTAAGAAATTAAAACTACTTATAGGTTAAGGGGGATTTAGTGGACCAGTGATCAAAAACTTGGCCTCTTATCGAGCTGGGTAGTTGGAAATTCGAACTAAAAAATACAATATTATAAAACTATAGTGAATTGTGAATCAATGTATAAATAGCACCCGGTTTCTATGTGGCCAAAACCATAGCCATGATTTAGTCACATACCAAAACTTGGGTCCTAAAGGTGCCATGGTGAGTCCCTGTGGACCAGGAATACTTTCAGTCAAATTATGGAAGCTCCTCATCAACACCCACTTAGACATCAAGGTTACAATCCCAAGTAGTAAGATAGAGAGAAAGATATGTGTGCCTCGCTGAATCGCTATGGAAGAATACCCCCAAGGGATGTAAGGGAAAGGTAAACATTCATCAATAACAAACCACAATTATCTTCCACGAAGAATCATAAAGTGTTCATACCAAAAGAACAAAACAATCCAGACTCCGCCAAATTGCGTCGCACTACCTTGAGGTCAAATCAGGCATGTGCCCTGCATTTCTCAGCTGCCAAACCAAAAGCTCCAACACAGAATAAACCACCTCAGCTCTCCCATTCATCACCCCATCAGCTGCGTAAAACTCCACAACCTCCCCATCCACCTCTATCCAACTACAACCAGGCGTCTTCTCCATGGCCCCTATCTCTTACTAACCTCTTCAACCTCCCCACCTCCTCCCACTTCCCCTTCTCCCCATACAAGTTTGCTAGTTGCACCATCTATGAGCCATTACCTGGGTCGAGCTCCATCAGTCGATGGACTGCACTCTCAGCTAATCCCACATTACCATGCATTCTACATGCGTTTAAGAGCGCGCCTCATATCACATCGTCGGGTTCTTGATTCATCCCTTCAATCACCTCTATTGCCTCCTCAAGACGACCTGCTCGACCCAAGAGATCGACTACGCACCCATAGTGCTCAATTCGAGGCTCTAAGCCACATTCCTTTTTCATTGAAAGAAAGTAAGAGCACCCCTCATCGATGAGGCCACCATGTGTGCACGCATTTAAAAGTTTAACAAATGTCACCTCGTCGAGCCTCACATTCTCTGTCTGCATCGTATTGAAGATTTCAATAGCTTCACGTGTGTGCCCATGTAATGCAAGGCCATTAATCATGGAGTTCCAAGCTGTGCCACTACGCTCTCGCATTCGATCGAACAATTTGCATGCCTCTTTCAAGCAGCCACACTTTGCATACATATCAATAAGTGCGTTACTGACAAAGGAGGAGGCCCCAGAGCCACGCTTGTATGTGTGCCGAGATGTGCACAAGCTGAGAGCGTGCACACCAGAGTCACATGATTTGGCTGGTGGCTCTCTGCAAGCATACAGCTCAAAAGAGACAATGCCTCAATGAATAGACCATTTTGTGCACACCCTGCTATTGCCGCATTCCATGTGCGTACATCTCGCTCTCTCATCTCCTAGAAAAGAACTAATGCGTCGCCCATCTTTCCAAATTTCGCAAACCCAGTCAACAATGCCGTGAAGGACACCACATTTGGCTCACACATCTCCCCAAGAGCACGACATGCTGCCTCAAGGACTCCGCACTTTGCATAAGCATCGACGAAGGCAGTCCTCACAACAGCCCATGCGTCAAGGCCGGACTTGGCAATGTGGGCATGGGTCTGTGCAGTCTCCAGAAGTGCGAAGATTTGCGCAGAGGCCTTGAGGATGTAGGGGAAGGTGAATTGGTTGGCGACAAAAGAATTGAAATGCATTTGCTTGTAGAGATAGAGAGCAGTTTTGCAGGTGGGTGGCCGTTGCTGAGCGTAGGCGGTGATGATGGCAGTCCAGTGGTAGACACTGGGGGCAGGGTTGTGGTCGAAAATGAGGCGAGCGTGATTGATGTGGGCGGCACCCAAAGTGGTGATGCAAAAACAGAGGAGTTTGAAAGAGAGGAGGGGAAGGTGGGCTTGGCCAAAGGTAATGAGAAAGGCATGGAGTTGGTTGAGGTGAGAGAGGTGGGTGCATCTCTAACAAAGCCAAGACATAGTGGGTTAGCTCTCCAGCTTTGGAGAAGATGCTCATGAGGCACTCTCACTCTGAATCTACTCAACTTGCCGCAATTTTCTTAATCTTTCTTGAATCATTATCGTCATCATCATCTGAATTTTCTTTTTGACTATTAGAAACTGTAATTTCATTAGGTAACAATGCCTATTTCTGACTATTTGAAACTGTAATTTCATCGGGTAACAATGTCGGCAAGACAAATGTACAAAGAACAAAAGAGACTTAGATTATAAATTCAAAATTGAAGCGAACATTTTACATGGAACTAAAAATACAATAATAAGACTGCCATTTCCGTGAGAGTGCTGAAAGTAAACAATGTTCTTCAATTTTTTGCTACTTTTGCACTCTTTGCTCCATGGGCTGATTACCAATAATGTAGTATGTTGTCAGACCGACCGAACAGGACAAGACCGGTCGGATTGGCCTAAGAAATTAAATGATTAATAAGAATACTAAAATAAAGAAAAATTCAAAAATATAGAAAATCATGCAAAACCATTTTCCAAAATAATTTTTGGGAATAAAAAAAGAAAAAGAGAGAAAAAGGGAGAAAATCATCAGATAATTCAAAAAACAGAATCTTATTTGCTGTTACATTTCAACCAGTATACTTATTTTTTTTCCTTTTTTTAATGCCAAAATCCCTTCAAAGTAACCAAAAAAAACGCAATCACAAATTTGAAAACACCTTCTAAAATATACAAGCCCCAACTTCATAAACACATTCAGGCAGATATATACATTTTCATTTATTTTTAAATCTTCTGCAATAAACTAATAAATAAATATTGAAGTACATAAACAAAAAAATCTTACTCAGTCTAGTCATAGTTAGCAAATCGTCGTTTAATCGGCGATTTTTTCAAAAAAAATCGGCACTTTTATGGAAACAGTTCTAAACAGCGACCTTCTGAAAAGGTCATGAAAAAAATAGTGTACTTTTCATAAAAACATTTAAAACGCGATTTTTTCATAATACGATTTAAATCAGACCAAAAAAATCGTATATTTTTCACCTATAATATTTTTTCCCTGTTTTGTGTATTGCAGCCATTGCTACTTTCATGCTTTTGAAAAAAATATTATTTCAGAAAAAAACCTAAAATATAAATTTTTATCCCTACTGTGTTCTTCAAAGCCACAATTGCAGATTGAAAGTATGAAATTTTTTCCCTTTTTTTAAATTTAAACAAAGTTGTTCTTATGGAAAATCATTGTGTAAATGAATTAATACTGTTTATAGCAAATCATTTCGAAAAGTAAATCATTGTGTAAAGAAAAACATATACATGCAGATTTCTGTCATTATTTGTGATAACTGTTTTTACGAAAATAATGTTTATGGCACAAATTAGAGCTCAAAAAACAGTCTTTTACTAATGAATGAGAAGCAGAGAGTGTGAGTATAGGAAAAAGTAATCAATATTTTGTTTTTCATTATGTAATAACAAAGATAAACAATATTGTGTAAACTGTAAACTTACCAGAGCAAGCAATCCCCCAAACCTAATCCTTCAGCTCTGCTTCCTGTTTCCCCAACAAAATGAAAAACCCTCTTCCTTTTTTCTCCCTAAACTTCAGGGAGGGCCTCTTCACAAATCAAAAAATCAGTTAGGGCCTCTTCACAAGTCAGTATAATTAGGGCTTTCTCTCAAACAACTCAAATCAGAGAGAAAAATCCTCTTCAAACTATCTCAAATCAGCATCCCATCTTCCTTTTTCTCTCTCTAAAAATCAGTTAGGGCCCCTTCCATTAGGGCATTAGGGTTTGTGAAGCCGATGAACTCTTGCTTCTTCCTTCTTCTCTCTCTATAAACCAAAGACGATGGACTTTTCCTACTTCCTTCTCTCTCTATAATGCCAAATGGCTATGAGCCCAGCGCCTATTTTCTTCTCTTCCTTCGTCTTCTTTCCTTTCTCTAAACCTTACACGCAGATATGTGAAACCCAGGTTTCTGGGACCATATAAATTAAAGAAATTTATAAAACTTTAGCCATACTTACGTGGTGTTTATAGCTAAAGAGTAATGATAGTACGAGGCCCTGCCACACTGCCCACTAGGATCTGATCCCAGTAAATTTAACACGTATCTTTATAAAAATTATAATAAAAGTTTATAATTTAATTTTTTAAAAAAATTTATATCAAATTTAATGTTGACCATTTGAAATCCTATACATATAAATGTGAAAAAATCTCATAACATCATTTCTCCAACTAATAGATATGATGTTTTAAATATAGTTGAGGTTTTCATAATGTTGCAACCTTAAACAACCATTTAAAATACACTTTTAAATTTTATCATAACATATAATTTTAATGTAAAATAGGGAAATGTTCCTGTTGGACCCTCTCACATCCAAGATTTCAAAAGATCACCATTAAATTTGGAATAGATCTATAGAAAAATAAAGTATCACACTTATCTGATACTTTTTTCTAGATATCTGTACCAAATGTAATGGTAATCTTTTAAAATCCTACACACATGGGTGTTGAAGGGTCTCATAGGATCATTGCTCTATAAAATATTGTTAAGATTATCTCAAAATATATTTTCATATCTAATTATAAAATTTTTAACTCCAAAAATAATTAAAAATTTTCCCTTTAAGTATTTAATAAATGGAAAAGTTTATATAAGGTTGCAACCTCAAAATGTAGATGTACATATGTGCCTCAAAAATCCATCGAAAAATATTGTTTTAATGTTACGAGACCCTCTAATTGATCATCTCAACATCGAGATGTATGAATGTGTAAAAAAAATTATTTTGAGTTGCAAACAAAGTGCATCTTGCAACACATTATCTAGACTGTCAATTTTTAAGATTTTCACATGTTTATAGATCTACATGATTTTAACTATTTTTCTAGTTTAAAATTTTATAATTAAATATAAAAATACATTTTAAGATATACTAAAATTTGGAGGTGCACCTTAATTGGATTGTTTGAGGTTGCAACCTGAATGAAACCACACCCTTTAATGAATTTATGTAGTATATTTGTCATTATGCTATAGTTAAAGTATTTAATGAATAAATTTATAATAGTATATTTGTTTTTGGTATGTAATAAGTAGGTGCGATAGTTTCTTACAGCATTTAATGGGTAGATTTATATGGTACTTTTTTTTGGTATATACTAGTTAATTATGTATTTAATATTAGATGATTGGATGATAGTCACGAGGTATCTAAATTAATTGATTTAATTATATTAGTCTAATAAAGTTTTTATGGATGAATTAGTTATTGATGGTTTTGACGTAATTGTTATTTTTAAAATTTTCTAATATTATAATTTTATCCTATTTTTTTACTCCGATTTTTTCAGGCTAATCCGATATAATAGCGATATCTTTATATGAAGTATTTTTGCCAATCCATATTTTTTACCCAATTTTTTCATTTGACTTTTTTAAATAAAAAAACGATTTGTTTTTTATTTTACGGCGAGCTGATTTATTGATTGTCCCCAACTTACTAACTATGGTTCTAGTAGCTCGCCGAAAATCTACGGAAATAGGTTGGAAATAGCTATGGCGATGGAGGCTCGTTTTGAACATGTCAAATGGCAAAAGCCTCCTCTGAAAGTAAAAAGTTTTTCAAGACACGTATACTGCATACTAGGAGCATAACATTTTTGTTTCCTTCTTTTGTCCTTCAATATACCCGAGGCTATAAACAATCAAAGTAAAGCGCACCTTCAAATAGTGTCGAGAAATGTCGTTGAAATTTTTGGTCATCGCCTTAAAATATATATTTTTTAATTATAAAATTTAAAGTTTCAAAAATAGTGTAGATCATGAACACTTGAAAATTGACGGTCCACAATGCATTACAAAATGCACTATTTCCAAAACTTGAAATCCAAAATTTTCATATTCATGCATCTTGATGTTGAGATGATCAATTTTAGGATATTTAGACGTCAAAACAACCTCTTTTAGTGAAATTTTTGAAGTAGGCTCAAATTTTTAAGACTAAATAATATTTTTAGCAACTATATTATGCTCCCTTAGGAGCATAGTTTACTTCTATTCCTCCGTTCTTCTATGCCTCTGATAAGGTGAATTACTTGAGAGGATTTATTAAATCTGAAATTTTGGTAATCACCTTATAATCATATGATGATTATTCTTAAAAAAAAAAAACATTAAAATTTGAGTTTTATAGTGTTTAGAGTTTACCCTCTAAAAATCAGACAAATGATATTTTTTTTTTTTTCAAGTACTCAGAGGGTGCAATTAGGAAATTTTTACTGAGGTTAATGTATGTATTGAATAGATTATATCCTCAAAATTTGCGGCCTTAAAACTAAACCTAGGTGGGGTTTTACTTGAGGGAGTAAAGTGATATTTTAAGTTTTTCTTTCTATTTTTTTTAAAAAAAGGGCAAAAAAGATATTTTCTTCCCCCCACCAATCCAGCATGTCTCTGGCAGTTCACCGGTTCATGGCCGATTCAATATGAAATTTCGTTCTTGCACTAGATTGGACCAATGATTAAAAATGGTCAGTAGCAACGGACTCGCCCTGTTCGACATGGGATCGATCACCTGGTGACGATTCTTGTGTAAAGCGTTGAATCGCCCGGTACTAGATAAGAACCGGCAATTCTATATAGTAAATTGTATTTATGATGTCACAAATCGCATATAACGTTCTTGCACAAGAAAATTGTATTTATGATGTCACAGTTCGCGTATAACGTTCTTGTACTAGATTGACCGGCAATTCTGTAGAAAATCATATTTATGATGTCACAGATCGCACATAACGTGCTTGCACTAGATTGACCGAAAATCATGTAAAGTAAATCATATTTATGATGTCATATATCACATATAACGTTATTGCACTAGAAAATCGTATTTATGATGTCACAAATCGCGTATATTGCACTAATTGACCGGCAATTATGTAGAAAAGCGTATTTATGACGTCATAGATCGCGTATATAGTTCTTGCACTAGAATAAGCGGCAATTCTGTATAGTAAATCGTATTTATGATGTCACATCGCGTATAACGTTATTGCACTAGAAAATCATATTTATGATGTCACAGATCGCATCAGTTATGTAGAAAATCGTATTTATGATATCATAGATCATGTATATCGTTATTGCACTAGATCAACATGTCATAGATAGATCGACTGGCAATTTTCTATAAGAAATTGTATTTATGATGTCAAATATTGCGTATAACATTCTTGCACTAGAAAATCGTATGTATGATGTCACTGATCACGTATAACGTTATTGCACTAGAAAATCGTATTTATGATGGTCGACAATTATATACAGTAAATCATATTTATGATGTCACTGATCGTGTATAACGTTCTTGCACTAAAAAACTGTATTTATGATGTCACAAATCACGAATAACGTTTTTGCAATAGAAAATCGTATTTATGACGTCACAGATCACGTATAATGTTCTTGCACTAGAAAATCTTATTTATGATGGCCGACAATTCTGTACAATAAATCGTATTTATGATGTCACAAATTGCATATAATGTTCTTGCATTAGAAAATCGTATTTATGATGTCGCATATCACTTATAACGTTATTGCACTAGAAAAACATATTTATGATGGCCGACAATTCTGTACAGTAAGTCGTATTTATGATGTCACAGATCGCGTATAACATTCTTACACTATAAAATCGTATTTATGATATCACATATCAAGTATAATATTATTGTACCAAAAAACTGTATTTATGATGTCACAAATCATGTATAACGTTCTTGCACTAGAAAATCGTATTTATGATGTCTTGCACTATAACGTTCTTGCACTAGAAAACCTTATTTATGATGTCACAGATCACGTATAACGTTCTTGCACTAGAAAATCGTATTTATGATATCACATATTGCGTATAACATTCACAAATCACGTATAATGTTCTTGCACTAGAAAATTGTATTTATGATGTCACAGATCAAAAATTGTATTTATGATGTCACAGATTACGTATAACTTTTACAAA